TATATATATATATATACTATAATATACTATATGTACATCTTATATATCTTATATATTATACACTATATATATATATATAAAGTGTATAATATATAAGATATATAAGATGTACATATAGTACATATAGTATATTATAGTATACTAAGTGTATATATCTATATAAGCATAACATACTTAAAGTTTACCGACCATATAGCATGTTATTATTATAGTCTTTAAATTATCATATCATACTTGATAAAGTTTTGGGTTATTATAAATCAGTATAATCTCATAAACTTTACCGACCATATAGCATGTTATTAATATAGTCTTTAAATTATCATATCATACTTGATAAAGTTTTGGATTATTATAAATCAGTTTAATCTCATAAACCTAATAGTATAATTTTCTTTTAATACCTCGTAAGTATATAGAACTTCAAACAAGTGGCGTAGCCCCCTTTGTTCAAGGTTGACACTCTTTCCCTTGAAAATTACGCTATATAGATAGGTAATGTTTTTGATGTATATACTATTAGTTGAGTTCTTCATATATTCTTAGTGAAAATTCTAATTTAGCTACTGCTTAAAATTATTTCTTACATATTTTGGGTGGTAATAGATGCTTGCTAGAAGAATATGGTAAATACCATGGTAGGCTGGCTACGTCAATGTTCAAGGTTTTGGCATCCGAAATGAACCTGGGACCATTACAGACTCAGTCTTATCTCTCAGTAGCCACTGGTCTACTGAGGGTGTATCGTTACCCTCGTTGCCACGAGCCAGAAGGAGCGTGGGGGATTGACGTGCACACAGATAGCTCAGTCCTCTCCATTATTCACCAAGATGAAGTTGGAGGCCTTCAAGTTTACAGCAAAGATCATCAATGGCTTGACGTCAATCCTCTTCCCAATACACTAATTGTCAATATTGGTGACATGTTGCAGGTAATTCGTTCACTTTTTTTTTTTTTTTTTAATTTCAGGGTTATTCTGTATTTGGTATTCGCTCGCGATCTCGATTAATTTAAATTTACANGTCAATATTGGTGACATGTTGCAGGTAATTCGTTCACTTTTTTTTTTGTTCGTTACCGGTGTATAGTACTCGTATCGGGACCTCGATTAATTTGAATTTGCACCACATAAAGCTCGTTAAAGAGGAAGCACTTCCTATACCCGGATCTTTTCCATTTTCGGAGCTCGAACCCTATCCCTCTGATCCTGTCAATCTTACCATATCTCCTGGTGGTTACTTTATCCATTGCATTTTATCCTTTTTCTAATTTTTAACTGGCATAATGGTCGCTGTCCTTGTTTTATCATAAAATATTCTGGAAAAATATAAAGAATTGAGAATAGGAGATCCAGTATTACCAACCATGATCTCGTCAATCTTTTCATCATCATCGTTCAATTTAATGTACTGACATTTAGATTTATATATATAATATATTCCTTAAATGTTTTGGGAAAGAGAGTTTTACCAACCATGATAACATTATTTAATCTTTCCATCATTATAGTACAAATGAGTGGGCTGACATTTTAACTTATATAGTGCTTTTTAGCATATATTATACTAAGTAAATTTTTTTAATGATTATATAATTTATTGGACTAACGTTTAAGTCATCTAAGTACCTATTTTAACCTTAAGGGCCAGAAACAAAAACTAGTGGCTATATAGTATTACATCTTCTCGTTGATAGCACATATTATAACTTACATAGCTAGTTCTAGATAGAACATTGGAGTGCGCACTTTTAGCAGTCATCTAAACAATTAGTGTCGCAACTATGTTAGAAAATTAGATGGGTTAGTGCAAGAACTTAAGATAATAACTACGTTCGATTATAGAATTATTATCTCAGTTTATACAGCCTTATGATATTAATAAGTTTCGAAGCTATTTTGGATTATTTTGATGGAACTATAATTTATTTAGTTTAAGTTTATACAAAACATTTCATTAACAATATCGTTTAATCTATTAGAGCAAGTTGTTATCGTTTTTATTAAGTTAATTTAATGTTTATGATAAAGATTCATTTGTAATTATCTTATAATTGTGTAAATATATTAAATTTTATTACAGGCAATGAGTGATGACAGGTATATGAGCGTGAAGCATAGAGTGAAGGTGAACAAACACAAAGAGAGAATATCAATAGGTTATTTTGTATTCCCTGCCGAAGATGCAATCATTCAAAGCACAAACTACAAGCCCTTTACCTACGCCGATTTTCGAGCACAAGTTCAACATGATTTGAAGACAGTAGGTATCAAGACTGGTCTCCAGAAATTCAAGTTTACTACTCAAATCTCTTAACTGAGTATCTTAGTTTTAATGGAGAAAAAAGGTGCACAAATAATTAGCTCCTGCTGTATCTTTAGCTGACTGTAACTTGTATAAGCTAGTAATATTCAGGTTTTTTTCTTGGTTATAATTTTTCCAATGTCCTTTCCTGTTGTGAAGAAATGGTAATTGTAGATTACTCTCTATAATTTCATTTTCGTTCTAGGAAATTTTATTTTGTGTCTGACATTACACGCCATACTTATGTGAGGCCCTTGATTACTTGACAAGTGGATTCATAGGCCCCATTTATTTACTTTGAAGATATATAAAACTAAAAATGCAATTTAAAAGTCATTTAATATGCCTAACTAAAGACAAAAATAAGTATTAACATACTAATCAAAATGTAAAGAAAATATATGCATTTAGAAAGCTAAGCCTTCTGATCGGCACATGAATTTTCCTTTACTTGTGTTGAAGAAGAAAAGCCAAATAACCTTTTGCTCAAAGAATTGATATGGAGGATTGTAACGGTCCGGGGGGTCGTTTTGAGTATTACAACTCATTTTTTATTTACTGCTCAATTTATGCTTTACAGTTGTTATATGACTTGCCGGGGTAATTGGTTCGAGTCCGGTGAGGTTTTGAAATGAATTGAGACACTTAGTCTTCAAGATGGAAGTTTAAGTTGAAATAGTTGACCGGAAGTTAATTTATGTGTAAACGACCTCAGAATAGGGTTTTGATGATTCTAATAGCTCCGTATGGTGATTTTGGACTTAGGAGTGTGTCCGAAAAATTATTTGGAAGTCCGTAATTAAATTAGGCTTGAAATGGCTAATATAGAAATTTAAGTTTGGAAGTTTGATCGGGGAGTTGACTTTTTGGTATCGGGGTCGGAATAAGATTCTGAAAATTGGAATAGATCCGCTATGTCAGTTACGACTTATGTGCAAAATTTGAGGTCAATCAGACTTGATATGATAGGTTTCGACATCGAATGTAGAAATTGAAAGTTCTTAGTTTCATTAAGCTTGAATTGGGGGTATGATTCGTGGTTCTAGCGTTGTTTGATGTGATTTGAAGTTTCGACTAAGTTCGTATGATGTTTTAGGACTTGTTGGCGTATTTGGTTGAGGTCCCGGGGACCTTAGGTGAGTTTCGGATTGTTAAACGGGTCAAATTTAAACTCGAAGCAATTCTAATTTTTTTCAGTTCTGGTGCAATCGCACATGCGATGGAAATGATCGCAGGTGCGCGACCGCAAAAGAGACAAAATGGTCGCAGATGCGGCCTGGACTAGGAAGGGCAGTGGCCGCAGATGCGCACTCCTTACCGCAGAAGCGGAGTCGCACCTGCGGTTTCGTGATCGCAGAAGCGGAAAAGGGAAGGGCCAAGCCTCATCGTAGAAGCTGTCACACCCCTTTTCTACCTTCAAAAGATATGTGTGTCATATGGGTTGGGTTAAAGAGTTTTTCCAATTAAAGTGACAAACTTGAGTAGGGATTATTTTACTTACAGAGTCGCCACTTGGAATTGAGTTTTGGGGTGTTCCAAGTCACCTTTTATTTGAATCCCTAGTCAAAGGGAGGTTTGACTCTATTATTATTGGTCTGCGAAAATAAAGTCCGGGTAAAAAGAAGGTGTAAGGCATTCATCGATTCCCGTAGTTCTAGCACGATCACTTTATTGACTACAACTTGGCTTGAATTAATTTTGAATAAATTGTGATTTATTAGTTTTCATATTTTATCTATCCACTTTTAATTATTCAAATATGAAATTATCTTTGAAACGAATCACGTGTGTGAATCCGTTTTTTGTTGTGCCAAAATCATGTCACGCGTACGTGTACACAATTAATAGCATTTTATTATATTAAGATTGTTATGGCCAAAGTTGCGCGAACACGTACTTCGATTTTAATTTTGAAAATCATAATTATGTCACGCGAACGTATACATAGCTATGGTGATTTGATTAATTTAGGGCGCGCTTAAAGCACTCTAACATATTCAAAAATTATATTTCTAAGTTTGAGATTATTGTGATGCTTAAGAGTTATACATTCTTCTGACTTAACATCACTCATGGCCTATTCTAATTCCTTGCCAAGAAAGAAAGAACTTTAATTTTTCATCTATCCAATTTAACAAACTCACTTAAATCACTACTTCAACATGCTAAAACAAAAGAAATATAACATAACCATATAAGTAAGAAAACTAAATCAAAGTCCATAGCATATTTAACAGAAATCGTCGAAAATAAACTTACATGTACTTAAATGAATTAATCTTTAAAACCAATATATAAACCAAATAATACACAATCTGAATACAAACAATACGAAAGAGATCAAGTATTTTCCATAGAGCAAATGAAATTCATCACAAGCATATAGAAACACTAATATATCAAAGCAAGTGTATATTAAAAATGTAAACAAATACTGAAAAAAATGGATTCGAATGGACCTTTATATTGATGAATAAAGTTAAAAATTTACAACTCAATCGAAATAACAAATCAACAATCGTTAGACGGAAACGCCAAAATTGTGAACCGAAACCTCGACATAGAAGCCTTACCTGACCGATGAAGACGGGAACAGTTTTAGGTGGTTTAAAGATGTTTTTGGAGTTGTTTAGTGGCTGAAGTTTGGTGGTTTCACGGCTAGTTTCAGGTGTGAGTTCGAGTGAAGTTTCAGTTGGTTTTCATGGCTGTTTCAAGGCTGTGTTCAGGTGGGTTTGGGAGTAGATTTCCAGCTCGTTTTAGGGGGTGTTTAACTAGAGAAAATGGGCTGTTTTGGGGGGTTATCGGCAACTGTGGGTGGACTGGTTTTCAGCTCGTTTTTGGGCTGTTTTCAGCTCGTTTTTGAGCTGTTTTGAGGGAGTTTTGGGGCTGGATTTGCAGCTCATTTTTTGCTGGTTTCTCCTCCCCTTCATGGCTAATTTTTGCAGCAATTATATAGAGGGTTTTGTTGGTCTTAAGGGTGGATATGAAGCTCCCTTTTTTTGTGAGTGTCCATGTGTATTTGTGGAGGGATCATGTGAGGGAAGTACTTCTGTGAGTTGTTAAAGAGGAAGAGTGGAGTATGAGTTGTTAAAGATGAAGAGTGAGAGTGTGAGTTGTGAGGGAATAATTGTATTGGTGGTAAGGTGTGTGTTAAGTGACGTGAGGGAGTTGGGAAAAATCCAAGCATGGTAAAAAATTAGATGCCTACATGAAGAGTTTTCAGGCAAAGAAAAGATGAGCGATAGGACTAATATTTGGCCATACCATTATTCACAAGGGAAGAGCTAAGAGAAAAGAGTGCAACCGAGTCCTGGTTTTAGACAGCCTATATAACCCGGATTATAGGGGAATCAAGTCGTTTGTAGTTCAAGAAAAATGATGAAATGATGAGTTGGAGAGTCGAGTGAGGTTCTGTCGAGGCTCCGGTCCATGGTCCTACTATTACATCAAAATCAAAAGAAACTAAGCAAGCCTATCAGCTATGAGTTACAAGATTCCTATCTATAAGTCTTTTGAAGTTTGATCTTGAGTCTTGACTGGTTGTTCATGCAGACTCTGATCTGAACCTTGATGCTTGCTAGCTGCAGGTGCTAGTTCATTCTTCTACGGCTTCTTCTGAGCAAAACGGAAAATGTAAAGCTCGCAACTTCAGTCATGTCTTGAGTAGTCCATATCCTTTTCATATGCTTTTGTATTTGGATTCACTTCTTTTCCTTTTATTTTCTTTATTCTGGATTGAGAATTTCTTCTTTCGATTATATCGAACCCTGTGCCTCGAGGTAAATGATGCTCAAACACCAAAACAAACAAACAAACAAAAGTTTTCTGCCCTAGTTTTCACTAGAAAAATTTCGTGAATTATTGTAACAAAATTCTAAATTACTTCTTTATTGAAAGCAATAAAATATTGGGAATGATGTACCCTGAAAAGCTCATGATAATTTTTTTTATGGTGCTCCTTTATTGTCAAAAAATGTCTCAACTAAAGATTGTTGTACCTTATGTTGGGAAGATGTGGCCATGGAATGATATACCTTATATTGGCAATGATACGAGGGAATGGTGTACCCTACGTTTAAGATCAAATCAACTAGGGAGTGGTATACCCTATGTTGGAAAATACAACTAGGGATTGGTGTACCATATACAAGTAAGGAGACTAGGGAGTGGTGACCCTATGTCGGAAAACACAACTAGGGAATGGTGTACCCTGATATTGGTAAAGAATTGTAACCACGGGTTGGTACCCTATATTATTGAAAAAGAAATGTAACCAGGGGTTGGCGCCCTATATTACTGAAAAGGAAATGTAACCAGGGGTTGATGCCCTGTATTACTAAAAAGGAAACGTAACCAGGGATTGGCGCCCTGTATTACTGAAAAGGGAATGTAACCAGGGGTTGGCGCCCTGTATTACTGAAAAGGGAATGTAACCAGGGGTTGGCGCCCTGTATTACTGAAAAAGAAATGTAACTAGGGGTTGGTGCCCTGTATTACTGAAAATAAAATATAACTAGGGGATGGTGCCCTGTATTACTAAAAAGGAAAATGTAACCAGGGGTTAGTGCCCTGTATTACTGAAAAGGAAATGCTGAATCCCTGGGCGAAAAGGTTCTATATGGGTTAAACTATGAAAAGCAAGCATGGACAAAGAGTACTTCTACCCGAAAATATGAGCTGGATCCCCCTAGGTCAAAATGTTCTACCTGGGTTAAGCTACGAAAAGCAAGCCTAGGTGAAAAGTGCTTCTACCCAGAAATATGAGATGGGCACCCCTAGGCGAAATGGTTCTACCTGAGTTAAGCTATGTATACAAACCTGAGCGAAGAGTACTTCTACCCGGAAATATGAGTTGGATCCTCCTAGGCGAAATATTTCTACCTGAGTTAAGCTATGTATAAAAACCTGAGCGAAGAGTGCTTCTACCCAGAACTATGAGTTGGATCCCCCTAGGTGCAAAGGTTCTACCTGGGTTAAGCTACGTAAAACATCCTGAGCGAAGAGTAATTCTATCCGGAACTATGAGATGGATCCCCCTAGGCGAAAAGGTTCTACCTAGGTTCAGCTACGCGAAACATCGTGAGTGAAGAGTACTTCTACCTAGAAACTATGAGCTAGATCCCCCTAGGCAAAATGGTTCTATGTGGGTTAAGCTACGTAAAACATCCTGAGCGAAGAGTACTTCTACCTAGAAACTATGAGCTAGATCCCCCTAGGCAAAATGGT